GGAGGCAGCAACAGCTGCGTCCGACGAGGTCGCCTGCCACCGGAAGTCCAATTCCGTTTAATTTCTATCTGTACTTTCATCACCTTTTCCAGCCATCTATGAATCTTAAGCCAATATTTCTTTGTGATAGGGCATATCCACCAAGCATGGTAATAAGTGCCTGAGTTTTGTTTACATTTCCAGCAAGTATTTGATACATTTTTAAACATTTTCACTAATCGAACTGGTGTGATATGCCATCTATAAAACATCTTATATAGATTTCCTTTATATGTTGCTGCTTTAGTAAGTTTAATATTTTTATCCCAAAGTTTTTGGCAGTCTTCTAAGTCTATAGAGTAGCCAAAATTCTTTGCCCATATCATCATTGTTTCTTTTACTTGTTCTTCTTCCATCTTCCATCTTAACAGACATTTATAAAGTTTCTTAATCAAATTCTCGTTTGTTTTCAAAAGTATTTTATCAAGTGGAATCTGCTCTTTGTAAAATCCCATTGATTTTATATCTTTTTCATATCTTGTTTGAATTTGCAAATAAGACCACCATATTAACTCAATACCTTGTTGTTGAAGAGTTTGCCTGTCTTTAAGTTTTCCATCTTTATCCAAAATATCTTTATAACTAACAAGTTTATCATAGTTAATCAAGTTCAGATAAGCAAATGCTTCCATTGTTGAAAGCCACTCAGGTATTTTCATATACATTTTGTGTCTAATTCTCTCCCATTCTGAAAGCAATACGTTTCTTATGGCATGATTTTGAAAGTATTTATGTGCTTTAGTTTTCTCATACCATAAAAAGGCGTGTCAATCTAATTGGAGGTCATGTCCCTCTAAGTAGAGAAGTCATTTATTTCTCAGTGTACTCCATTCTTTCAGCCAAAGCAAAATAGCTGCTTGATAATAAAGTCTCCAATCCGGAAGTCCAAAGCCCCCTCTGTCTTTGGAATCTTGTAAAAGTTTACATTTAATTCTTTCTTTCTTTCTTTGCCATATAAATCTTAGTATTATTGCATTCAAATAATCAAAAAATTTCTTGGTCAATTTAACAGGGACTGTTTGAAAGAGAAAAATTAACTTTGATAGAATGTTCATCTTAACCATCACTATTCTTCCTAGCAGTGATAATTGAAGATTTTCCCACTTTTCCAAGTCTACTTTTATTTGTTTTATTAATCTCTCATAGTTGTCCTCTTTTAATGTTCTATATTTTGCAGTTAGTTAAATACCTAGGTCAGTGGTGGCGAACCTATGGCACGGGTGCCAGAGGCGGCACTCAGAGCCCTCTCTGTGGGCACGCATGGCGTCACCCCAGTCCTAGGCCTTCGGGTGGGTTTTATAAAACCTTTTCATTTTAGGCCTCCGCCGCCGTGTACAAAAAAAAAAAGTTCAATCAATCAGTCAATTTCAACTTCTCATGGAAAAAAAAGATCTTGCAAAGTTGGAATTGATTGATTGAACTTTTTAGTCCCACCCAGTCTGCCATTACCACCGCAGCCACGCCCATCCAATGGGCCACTCCCACCCAATGGGCCACACCCAGCCAATGGGCCACACCTACCCGGCACCCGACGATGCATAAGTGGGTTTTGGGTTGCAATTTGGGCACTCAGTCTCTAAAAGATTCGTTATCACTGACCTAGGTATTTAACTTTTTTGGCTATTTGAAGATTTATCTTTTTGGCAAGTTGAGTTTTCTGTTTATCAGTTAAGTTTTTTGTTAAGACTTTAGTCTTTTCCCTATTTATTTTCAATCCAGTCACATCCCCAAATTCCTCGATTTTCTGCAAAAGTTTAGGGGCTGTTTCCAGTGGTTCCTCTAAAATAAAGACCAAATCATCCGCAAAAGCCTGTAGTTTATATTTCTGATCTTTAAACCTTTAAATTTCCTTATCTTGTCTAATATTTCTAGCCAATACCTCCAATGTAAGAATAAATAACAAGGGAGATAGTGGACATCCCTGTCTCGTGCCTTTTTTGATATCAAATCCATCTATATAATCTCCATTTAAGAGTATTCTTGCTGTTTGTTTCGTATAAATTGCTTGAATTGCTTTAATAAAGTTCTCGCCGAAATCCATTTCCTGTAACTGTTGAAACATGAATTGCTAATTTAAATTATCAAAAGCTTTTTGTGCATCAAGGAATACAATACATCTGATTCCCTGGATAATTTTCATAGTTTTCCAAAGCATTTAAAATAATCCTTAAGTTGTTCTTTATCTGTCTTCTAGGGAGAAAGCCGTTTTGATCTGGATGAATGAATTCAGTTAGAAAATTTTTCATTCTTTCTGCCATTATTGCCGCAAAGTTTTTGTAATCCACATTTAATAACGATATTGGTCTATAATTTTTCGTTTGTGTAAAGTCAGTATCTTCCTTGGGTATCAGAGTAATATTGGCTTCCGTCCATGAGTTCGGTATTTTTGTCTGTATAAAAATTTCATTACACAAGTCTTTCAAAATTGGAGTTACAGTATCTTGTAAGGCTACATAAAATTCTGCGGGTAATCCATCCAGCCCCGGTGTTTTGTCTTTCTTTTGTCTTTTTATTGCCTCTGTAATTTCCATCATTGATATCTTCTCATTTAACCTCTGTCACATATTCTCAGGAACCTTTGGAAGATTTGCTTCTTTTAAATAATCCTGTATTGCCTCTTTAGAAATCACCTCCGCCTTATAAAGTGTCTCATAGTAGGCCTTAATAATTTTTTTCATTGCATCATTATGACAATGTAACTCTCCCTTTGAATCCTGCAGTTTACTTATTAATCTTTTTTCTCTTTCTTTTTTCAATCTATATGCAAGCCATCTTCCCGGTTTATTAGCATTTTCAAAAAAAAGTTCTGTTTGGCTCATTTAATCTGTTGTGCCAATATATCCATCTCAAGTAAGTTTAATTTGTGTTTTATTAAGTCCATTTGTTTCTTCAAATTTTTCTTTTGTGGATCAGTTTGTAACTCCGATTCTAAAGTACTAAGCTGTTCTTTCAATCTACACTGTGTTTGTCTCTTTTCTTTGTTCTTTTTGGCAGCATAAGTTATAGCCAGACCTCTGAAATATACTTTTGCCATCTTCCATACATTTTGAATAGAAGTTTCTTCTTTTTTATTATTTTTTTTTAAAGTCCATTTCTTTTGTTGCTAATTATAGAAACGACTTGGAAAGGAGCTAGGAAAAGATTAAGATGGTTCTTGAACAAATCTATATTGATGGTCAGGGTTATATTGATCCAGCACACTCCCCGCTTGGAAATATAAATTTCCACTACTAACTAACTGAAATAAGCAAAAAACGTAGCATTAAAGCATGCAATTCTCATTGCTAACTGACTATTAACTAAATAGGTAAAACATGGTATCAAAACATGCATAACTATAAGGTAAATATAAAACATGCACAACTATAACAGAGATAAACAAGGTATTACATCAAACAATGCAATCATGAGGTACACAATACATAGTTTGAGGTTCAATCTTCCAGTATGGTCTTCTTCAGCAACGGGACTAAATCAGTGATCAATCTGGTGCAAGAGTCTTTGAGTCACGATCTGACTCACGTGGCTTCACGACCTGGGCCTCAACTTGGCAAACTAGTCCATCAGAACTGGGTGGGGCCTGGTGCACAAGTCCCATGGACCAAGAGTTCTGGTATGCGTCCTTGTCTCTCAGCAAGACAAGGTCTTCTTCCTGTAGGAGAAACTGGAACTAAAGGAACATCTGGAACAGAAAAACTGGAACCCAAAATTTCTCAGGAACAAAGGATCCTGGATCCACAGGATGCTCAGGAACAGAAGAAGCTGGAACCACAGGAAACTCGGGAACAGCAGGAGCTGGAAACTCAGGAACAGCAGGAGCTGAAAACTCAGGAACAGCAGGAGCTGGAAACTCAGGAACAGCAGGAGCTGGAACCACCGGATACTCAGGAACAGCAGGAACAGGAGACTCAGGATACTCAGGAACCGAAGGATTTGGAACCACCTGTGGAGTGTTGAAGATGGCTGCTACTGTTGTCATGAGAGTAGTGAGGATCTCATGTATGGGCGTGAGTGTCTTTGTCGACATAGAGTCCATGATTTTGTGGGGTACGCCAATCATGCGCTCCCACGCTTCGCCCATGTGAGATGCATGGGGAGGGTAATTTTTGGCCTTCAGGCATTTGTCAATCACTGGGTCATGACGAATATCTTCAATAGTCTGTAAGTCCTTGCAGGCTCCTACAAAGCTAGTTCTTGGGATGCTAAGACAAGTGATCAGGACGATCAATACTATGCCCAATCTCAGGTGTCTCCATTTAAAGGAGCGTTCGAAGCGGGCTGGTTCTAGGAATTGGCTAGAAGATGGTTTCTCTGTCTCTTTGCCCATTGAGGACAAGCAGATGATCTGGACGATCATTTGGAATGAATACTCCTCGGCAGTTGTGCGTCTGAAGTCTTCTTTGGCCGGGTCGTGACCTCTCTCTTGTATACTGAAATAGGAGTTTTGTCCTTTGTGGCTTGGAAAGAACCCTTGTTAGTGCCAAAGTTGTGACTGGTCCGTCACATCGTAAAACATTTTTCATCGACATCAAGGTAATTAGGGTCATCGTACAGTTCTGATTGATCGGAAACAAAATCTGTAAGAACAGCAAAGGGTGGAGGTTTGCTGGGGTCCTGTTTCCTGTAGGACTGGGATTCTTTGAGCCATTGATCTTTCAACTGCCTTGGTAGTTTTCGGATGATAATCTTCTGCGTGTCGAACTGGTCAAGGCAGACAAGTCCTGGCATGGTGAGACTTTGTTGTGCTGCCCAGAGCTGTTTTAGTAAGTTGGAGAATCTCCAAATCTGACTAGGATCGTTGATATTGATGATAGGGAAATCATAGAGATCCTTTAGGAATGAGGACTCTGTCAAAGAAGGTGCCCCATAGTGCTTGTTGAGCGTTTCCCAGGTTTCTCGAAGGGCAACGGATGGGTCACTCAAATGTGATACGAAGATCTCATCCACTACCTTTGAGGATTCTGGTCCCAGCCATGCTGACATAAGCCCGATCTCTTCCCCTGGGTGCAACCTCTTGTCGCGGAGGGCTTGCTTGAAAAATTGCTTCTTCCCTGGTTTGTTGGAGAATTTTCGCACGCCTCTGGCTGCCATGTCCAACCTTCTTCCACCGAATGTTGGAGAATACATTGGTCCTGTGTATGGGCTGTAGCCAGGTAAAGGTGGTGCGTTGCTTCCAAGAGTGGGGGCCTGTGCTAGGTCTGGCTGGTCATTTTCCTCGGGGTGATGTCTGCTGAGGGTATCTTGCCATGACATGTACGAGGGATCTTGTGGGTTTGAATTCCTCTGCCCTTACATTGAGCTGAGGGGGCCTGACTTCTCGTGTGCTTACTTGTTGGAGGGTTTCTCATCATTCAGGTGGTGCGTTGCCGGTTCCCTGGCCAGTTGGCATGGCTGGTGGTTGAGATTCTCCTCCGTGGTCAAGTCTGGTAGCGGTTCCTCGGGATGCTGCTTCCTGTTGCCTCAATATTGACTCCATTCTGGCAAGCTCATCCCGTAGCAGTTGCACTTCCTGCTGTGTAACCGTTGCTGCTGCAGGTGGACCCATCCGGTTACCATCTGTGGTTTGGTTCGTTGGTGTCAATGGTGTAGCAACGGTGGGAAGATCTCGTGATCCAGATGTTGCGATCTCTGGCTGATTGGCACAACTGGCTGTTGAAATTCTTCTCCTTGTCTACTCGGTCTTAAGGGGCTTGCGGATAGCCGTGGCACTCTCACCTGTTCACGTTGAAACGTGCTCTGGTCGTCAACGTAGGCTTGCATACGGTTATGAGGGCTTTCATAGCCATTCCAACCTGTGCGCAGATGTAGCATCTTCCAGCTCTCTCTGCAGAACCGCTGCTCTTACGACTGCCTCTTTTGCTTTCTGTTGGCGCTGGGAAATCTCAAAGCTGGCCTGAGCTTTGACCATGTCTTCCCTTTGCTGATGCTGTGCCTCTACCACGAGAAGGGCTGCTGTAGCCTGAGCTTCCTTTTGCTGACGCTCTGCCTCTGCCATGTGAAGGGCTGCCGCAGCTTGAGCTTTGGCTACTTCTTCCCTCTGCTGTCAGTCTATTTCTGCTACACATAGAGCTGCTGCAGTCTCCACTTTGGCCAATTCTTCTCTTTGCTGCTTTTCTTCTACTGCTGCTTGTGCAGTGGCGTCAGCCATTGCGGTATTGATTCGCGCTTGTGTGAGTCAGTCAGCAAGGATCTCTGCCCTTGAGGCTCAGGATGCTTGGCTCTGATGAGAAGACGCTTTTGAATGGCGGGAGGCGCCTGTAACATGAGATTGTTGTGACAGGCTGGAATACGCCTGGGCTCGCGGTGAGTTATGGCGAAAGGGTGAGGCTTTTCCAGAGGCATGAGATGGAGCCACCTGTGATCACTGGGATGGCGCATGCGAATGATGGGAAACTTCGGACTCGTCTGGTCTGTCTTTCCTGTAAGGCTCGGTCTCCGGGAGGCGTTTTAAGCTCTCTAGAAACTTCTTACATTCCTTGTTTTTTAGCTTGAGACTTTGCATTGTGCTATCTATAGTTGAGTCTCCTAGTTGCGCCTGTATCTTTTCGAGACGGCTTTTGAAGTCTGTCCATTGTCAGAAAACTTGTTTCTTATCATCTTCCAATGAAGAGCTTTGCTCTTTGACCATCAGAGACACTCTCTGCATAGTTAGAAATTTCAGCGAAGTTCCTTCTTTCACCTCCAAGGGGTGCTATTAACTTGGATTGGTGCAAGCCTGCTATTTGCAGATCAGCTACCAAGGTGGGGGGTGCTGTTCTTCCAGCAGGGCTGTGAGGCAGAAGGCCTGTAGTGTAATTTTTAAGGAATTACTTTGCTTAAATTAGATTCCAACTTGGGTCTTTAAGAACATGCAGTTATAATGATTACCGTTCCAGAGCCAATAAACTTGCACATAAATTCGCTGGCTTAGTCTGTTTGCAAACATTAAAGTCAGGCTTTGTTAGCAAGTAACAAAATGTGTGGTTGCTGTTTGCAGGTTGCCACTAGAGGGGGTTACTGCGTTGCCTTTGCCTGAGATGTGTTTGTTTGCCTTTGAAACTAGATGCCCTCCTTTTCCCCGTCCGAATTCTTTTATTCCAAGAGGAGGGGGAGGGGAGTCAGTATTCTCTCACCAGATGCTTAGTTACCAAGACAACGAATGAATTTATGGTCTGGCAGCTGAGGCCGGTAAGGGGTGAATGCCTTACTTTCAAGCAATGCTGAGCTTACAGGCGGGGTGGTGGT